GTGTGTTTATAGAAACAGTGTGTAGTTCAGAGATATCTCTGAAAGCCTGAACTTTTTGCCGTAAGGAAAGTGTCGGGAAAACACACTGAAAAGTGTGGGGTAACATTTGCTTTGACACGCCATCTAACCTCCCTGTGAACAAATTAGGATGCATGCTCACTAAATAGTCGGACTCATCTAATATCTCTGCAAACAGGGTGTAAAAGTTAAAAAAAAGGTAAAGGACCCCTGGATGGTTAAGTCCAGTCAAAGGAGACTATGGGGTTGTGGTGCTCATTTTGCTTCAGGCCGAGGGAGTCGGTGTTTGTCCATAGACAGATTTCTGGGTCATGTGGCCAGCATGACTAAACCGCTTCTGGCGCAACGGAACACTGTGACGGAAACCAGAGCACATAGAAATGCCGTTTACCTTCCCGCCGCAGTGGTACCTATTTATCTACTTGCAGTGGCATGCTTTCAGACTGCTAGGTTGGCAAGAGCTGGGATAGAGCAACAGGAGCTCACCCGTCACAGGGATTCTAACCACTGACCTTCTGATCAGCAAGCTCAGTGGTTTAGACCACAGTGAGAGGAAAGGCCCATTGGACTCAATGGAGATTACTTCTCAGTAGATATATGTATGCAATTGCATTGTAAATCACCTTGGTCCAAATCCATTGCTGTAATCACTAAACTGACTCTGGACCTTATATTTTGATGTATCTTGAAAGAAGATGTATGCACCTGTTTTTTTTTGAAATGTAAACTTTTCTGAGCAGGAACAACTTTGCTCATGTGGATGATGTTCTATACATCCCAAAAATACTCTACAGGAATGTATTCTGCATGTCTGTCCTCCGTTTTTCCATGGCATTCGTAATTTGAACCGAGGTTTAGTTTATGTAATAATCTAAACCTTGGTTCAAATGACGAGGGCAATGGAAAAACTGAAGGGAAGCATGCAAACTACATCTTTCCATTAAAACAGTGCATTTTGTCTGTCTAATCTGTCTTGCTACCTAAACAACATCCATATTTGTAGCGGGGGTAATTGCGGACTATTGCTAATGTTACGGCTAAACAGTTGCTTCTCAGTAAGAATCAAGTTGTTGGCAAATTAATTTCAGGGACGGAAACTGTAGATGCCTTGCCACTTTGAAGGGCTTACATTTAAACACTTTCCCTAAATCCAAGAAGCAAGAACACATTCCAAAGCACTTATTAATCCCACTGCTGACTTTAATGAAACTTTGAAGCATAATATTTTTATTTGTTATGGTTGCTAAGTATGTTGCTAAGTTATACACTCAGAAGCCTGGCTCCTGTGATGTTTGTGTAATCTGACCGTGTATACTGTACTGAGGGATTTCTTTAGTCGAACGGGCCAAATTTAGTTGTACTTCGAAGCTACAAAAAAGTGCCATTTATTCGCCTCCCATGTGCTATTTTTTCCTTGACAACACAAATACATGTAATTATAGGTAAACAAATGTTTGTTGGAGGGGCTTGGTCTTTACATCATGTTCTGTTAATTTTGTACAGTATTTGTTTTGCACCTGTAAGAGGAAAAAGTTTGACTGTAGGATATACTGTTAGAGATTTATTCAATAAACTAACAAAATTTTGTTGTTGTTGTTTAGTTGTTTAGTCGTTTAGTCGTGTCCGACTCTTCGTGACCCCATGGACCAGAGCACGCCAAGCACTCCTGTCTTCCACTGCCTCCCGCAGTTTGGCCAAACTCATGCTGGTAGCTTCGAGAACACTATCCAACCATCTCGTCCTCTGTTGTCCCCTTCTCCTTGTGCCCTCCATCTTTCCCAACATCAGGGTCTTTTCCAGGGAGTCTTCTCTTTTCATGAGGTGGCCAAAGTATTGGAGCCTCAGCTTCAGGATCTGACCTTCCAGTGAGCACTCAGGGCTGATGTCCTTCAGAATGGATAGGTTTGATCTTCTTGCAGTCCATGGGACTCTCAAGAGTCTCCTCCAGCACCATAATTCAAAAGCATCAATTCTTTGGCGATCAGCCTTCTTTATGGTCCAGCTCTCACTTCCATACATCACTATTGGGAAAACCATAGCTTTAACTATACCGACCTTTGTTGGCAAGGTGATGTCTCAGCTTTTTAAGATGCTGTCTAGGTTTGTCATTGCTTTTCTCCCAAGAAGCAGGCGTCTTTTATTTTCGTGATACAAATGAAATATTTATTGGGTAACACAGTGCATGGAGGTTTCCTCTCTTGACTTTCTTAAATGATAGTCACTTTAAGATGATTCTTTTCCGTATAAATAACACCAAGGTTGCAGGTTCAATCCCTGTATAAGACAGCTACATATTCCTGCATTGTAGAGATTATCCTCAGGATCCCTTCCAACATTACAATTCTATGATTCTATAAAGCAGCTAACAAATGTACCGTATTTTTCCATCTATAAGATGCCCCCATGTATAAGACACCCCCCTATTTTGGGGGACTCCAATTTAAGAAAATAGGGGGAGATACTACTATCCGTGTATAAGACGAGCCCAGATCTTGAACATTATTTTAGAGTAAAAAACCATAGTCTTATACATGGAAAAGTACAGTAATTAATAAAAACACCATTCTTCCTTTTTATGTGCATGAGAAGACTAAAAATACACTGGAATTTACATGCCCCAAACAATGACTTGAGTTGAATAGGAATGACAGTATGGTAAATTCAGAGTAGCCTTCCTTCTGCAGATTTTGTTGGACTCTACCTACAGTAAGTCTCAGGCAGCACAGTACTATGCAGGACCAAGAATAAATTATTTTAAAACCTTTTAATTAATTAATGGCTCAGTTTTCCATGGTCAGTGTATGTCTTGTTATCATAAACTTTCCTTAAATAATGTAACTGCTATTTAAACAAGCCATGCTCAGCCAATCCCAAGTTTCCCTGACTTTATTTCCTACATGAGTAGAGTGATGTTAACAGATTTGATCCAGCCGTAGTTCAGTAACTTTTAAACACCATTGATTTCAGTGGGGGACAGTTAGTCTGCAATCCTATACCCATGTACCTGGGAGCAAGACTCATTGAACTGAGGCTTAATTCTAAAAATGCATGTATGGACATGAATATGTGCATTGCCTCAAAGCAGTTTCCTGCAAAACAACATCTAATATAGCACATTTTTGCATGTTATTTTTTGCTAGTATATGCATTTTTAGGCACACTTTGTCCCAGTTTATGCATTTCTGTACATTTTACTTGGCTAGAGAACCACACTGCAAATATGGAGGCGTGTGAGTTTCAAAGAATAGAAGTTTCGGTTCACATATTGTTTTGCAAAGTGAGAATTGGGTAGCTTCACCTTTTTAAAAAAAGATGCACCTCTTTACTCTGGCTTTTGGTGCTTGAGATCCAGCTTAATTATGTGATTATAAATTGTTTTAAGCTGGTTTTAATTGCTGCAATGCACTCTGGGACCTTAGGGCAAAGGGCAGGTAATAAATTGAAATTAATAATAACCATACTAACGAATGCAAACTGAATCTATTTTCTCCCTGATTCTACTGGTAGCTCTCCTAGCAATTTGCAATAGATTGGCAAGGGCTTATGACTTCCAGTTGTCTAACAACGGCCCTGTTCCTGCCTATAAACGTCGGTCTACAGAGCTTGGACTGTTAGAAGTGTCGTTTAATGTTCGTTCCACATCTGTTAGGAACCCTGCTTTACATGTGGCAGTGTTGCAGGAAACCCCCCCCCAATCACTCAGTTTGTACAAACACGACACACACACACACGACATACACAACGTTTCTGTTATAAATTCATAGTAAATCAACCATACATCGGATTTACACCGGTCCACTTTTATTTTACTCCATGAAGGAAGGACTATCAAAGGGGGATGGTTTGATACAGGACAGCCATAATCCCTTAACCGTACCAGCAAATACACAGGAGCCCTGCCCAGTTGGCATGACAATCTTGATGGTCCCAGACAGAAGACCATCAAGGTCACAAAGGACTTGCATATGGGAGTGGATTCAACATGGACTGGAACAAAGGTTAATGATCAGATCTTCCCTCTGGGGGCAGGAAACTGTCAGCTCCCCTTTGTCCTCTGGAAATGACTCATGGGTAGGGGGAAAGGAGGAACCAGCCAGGTGAAAAGATACTGAGGTTACCTCCACGACTCCTCCCTCAACCCCTCCTTTTTGTGATGTGTCAATGATGTAGTCATGATGTAGTTGTGATGTAGTTCTAGGGGTGTAGCTTGGGGGATTAGTAACTAATAAAAGTTGGGGTCTTCTTTTGTTCTGGGCTTCCATTTTGTTTCACCTGGTGGCAGGTGGGAGTCCTGTCGTGGCAGTCTTCAATAAAGACCAAGCCTACTGGCTGCTGTTTTGCTCTGGTATTCCTGGCTGGTGTCCTTGTTTTTTTGTCAGATTTCTCCGTTAACAGCAGCATCTATGTTCTGGAAGTCCTCGTCTAGTAACATGAGACAGGCATGCTCTTTATACTGTTTTAGACTCATTTTTAATTTTTTAAAAATAGATATATAATTTAGTATTTGCTTTAAAATGTTGCTTATTTTCTCTGTGTATTATTTCCCCGATCTGTGTATTATTGATCATTATTTTATATTGTTTTACATACACCACACAGAGTTCTTTTTAAAAGTGTTGGGTGTATAGGTAAAGGTAAAGGGACCCCTGACCATTAGGTCCAGTTGCAGACGACTCTGGGGTTGCGGCGCTCATCTTGCTTTATTGGCCGAGGGAGCCGGTGTACAGCTTCTGGGTCAAGTGGCCACCATGACTAAGCTGCTTCTGGTGAACCAGAGCAGCGCACAGAAACACCGTTTACCTTCCCGCAGGAGCGGTACCTATTTATCTGCTTGCACTTTTACCTGCTTTCGAACTGCTAGGTTGGCAGGAGCAGGGACTGAGCAATGGGAGCTCACCCCGTCATGGGGATTCGAACCGCCGACCTTCTGATTGGCAAGTCCTAGGCTCTGTGGTTTAACCCACAGCGCCACCCGCGTCCCTGTGTATATACATACATACATACATACATACATACATAATAAAGTATATTTATGTGTGTGTGTGTATATATATACATAATAAGGAAAACAAATTTTATTAGGCCAATGGAGTGAAAAAAGCTAAGCAGAAATGCAACATACATAGGGCCATATGATGCCTTATACTGAGTCAGATCATTGGTCCATCTAGCACAGTACAGTATTGTCGACATAGCATTTGCAGCCCTACCTGGAGATGCTGCGGATTGAATCCAATACACCCTGCCTGCAAAGCAGATGCTTTGTCACTGAGATACAGCCCTTCCCTGTAGCAAAGGTGCATGGGAAGCTGCCTTGTACAGAATCAGGGCATTGGACCATCTACAGTAGCTTTGGATTGTTTATGTCGCTGGCAGTGGCTCTCCAGGGTTATGGAAGGCAACGGAGAGAAGGGGGACATGTATTCAGATTAACTGGAACAGTTGGACGGGAATCATCTAGTGGGCTTTTCAAACAACCTAGGCGATCATCTGAGTCTTGCTGATGCAAGTCTTTGCTGCAGCAGAGGAAGGCAGCCCGCACCAGAACTGGAGACAGTATTCCTGGTGTGGTCTGACCAAGGCAGAATAGAGTGAAACTATTACTTCCCTTGATCTGGACGCTATGCTTCTGTTGTTGCAGCCCAGATTAGCTAGACTCAGCTTGGCTCATGATATATTGGCCCTACATCTGAACAATTTATGAAATTACAGTGGTACCTCCGGTTAAGAATTTAATTCGTTCCGGAGATCCATTCTTAACCTGAAACTGTTCTTAACCTGAGGTACCACTTCAGCTAACGGGGCCTCCCGCTGCCGGAGCACGATTTCTGTTCTCATCCTGAAGCAAAGTTCTTAACCTGAGGTACTATTTCTGGGTTAGCGGAGTCTGTAACCTAAAGTGTCTGTAACCTGAAGCGTCTGCAACCCGAGGTACCATTGTACCTTTTTGGGGACCAATATACTAAAAACTGATATAGAAAAAATAGGGGTGCTTGGCTTTTGCTGCCCAACTCCCCAAGGGACTGAGCCCCCTAAGTCCATGATCGGTCAGAGATGAATGGATGGAGGCAGGATGCAGTGAAAGCAAGGCAGATCTTTATTTTTCTGTTGCATCTGAGTTCCCACCCCTCCTTGCAAGGAGGCAAGAGCAGTGGCGTCGCAAGGGGTGGGGTGGGGGTTTGCCCCGGGTGCCATGTCTGGAGGGATGACAAGAAGGCACCCCGCGGGGTGCTCACCCCGCCACCCCTGAGCGCGGCAGCGCGAGCAGCCACCGCTCCGCCGTAGCCACATGTGAAGGATCCTTCCGCCGGCACCGCTGGGAGCAGAGGATCCTGCCACTGTCTGTACAGTGCTCGGGCAGCTATGTACAACACATGCGCAGTGTCACATGCATGTGCTGTACGTAGCGATGCCACACATGCGTTGTACATAGCGATGCCATGCATGCACTGTACGTAGCAAAGCTGCACATGCGTCACATGTAGCGACACCACACATGTGCTGTATGTAGCAATGCCACGAATGTGTCGTATGTAGCGATGCCACGCATGCGCTGTACGTAGCAACGCCACACATGCGTCATATGTAGCGACACCACACATGTGCTGTATGTAGCAATGCCGCACATGTGTCGTACATAGCGATGCCACCCATGCATCATACGTAGCAGGGCAACGCATGCGCAGCCAGCGGTTTGCCCCGCCCCTGTTGTCGGTTAACCTTCGTTTGCCCCTGGGTAAGAGAGAGACAGAAACAAGAAGAAACATCTTTTTTAGGGGTTTGCATTTTGGCATGGAGAGGAAGCACATCTCCTCTACAAACAGAAATTATATCACACAAAAGGTGGGGTTATCATAACAAACACACGTGCAGAATCCCAGCTCTTGACACTGCTGTTATTTCATCAACACCCTCTGTAGCCTTCGGCAGCAACATAGATGATCACGGGATTATTAGGTAACAATACGGCACTGACAGGCCTTAAACCAAAGGTGATCTTGCAGACTTGAGGAAAAAAAACACGAGTATTTCCTACGAAGAAAGAAATCCTTCCAGGAAACAACATCGTCCGACAATGGATTCCATATGTACAAATAAAAACCTGAAGGTTAGCATGGGACTGTGCAGGATCCAAAACCGTTCTCAGCTGCCACAGGAGCATATTCTCTGCGGTCAGCCGTGTGACTTCAACGAGCTTGACACTAATGACTTTTCAGTGTTTCTTGGAGATCACCCACACTTGAGGGCTTAAGGACTGTTCCGAAGCCAGCTGAACTCAAGGCAACATTTCCATCTAATGGTAGATTGTGTCCTAGTAGTGTAAGCTTTATTAAGGCACTGGGATAAGATTATCAGAATATCCAGGGACTCGCAGTCACCACTCGCTAGCGAATGAGCCTCTCTGCTTGCCGTTATGTAATGCTGTGTGCGTTTCACTTTGGCTGGTAAGCTCCAGTTTTATGTAACTCATCCCAGATCAGCTGATTTCCTTCAGAGTCCTAGAGCTGATTTTCCACGAGTATAAGTGGATAGAAGAACTTGTTTGAAATTAACCTTACCATGCAAGGTTTTTGTTCTTGTTTAGTCATTTAGTCGTGTCCAACTCTTCGTGACCCCATGGACCAGAGCACGCCAGGCACTCCTGTCTTCCACTGCCTCCCGCAATTTGATCAAACTCATGCTGGTAGCTTCGAGAACACTGTCCAACCATCTCGCCCTCTGTCGTCCCCTTCTCCTTGTGCCCTCCATCTTTCCCAACATCAGGGTCTTTTCCAGGGAGTCTTCTCTTCTCATGAGGTGGCCAAAGTATTGGAGCCTCAGCTTCAGGATCTGTCCTTCCAGTGAGCGCTCACTGTGTGCAATTAGTACAGGCAACTCCCCATTTACATGCTGGAATGCAACCTATGGTACAAAGGTAAGCGTCAGATCCATTGTCCCAGCCATGTTTGCCTCTGGCCTCACTCACCACTAGCATGGAGACCCCAGACTGAAAAAGGTCCTCCCCCCCTTGGATTTATTTCATCCAGTTCTGTATTCTACAGTGCCAATTATTTTATATAAGCTCAAGTTTATCAGGACTCCCATCACCTGAAAACTGTATATGCCATGCTATTTGGCTTAGATTGACCAAAGCTTGATTGGGGAGGAGAATAAGCCCAGTTTCCAGCTGCTTGCTAGCACACATATGGAAGTCATTCGTACCAAAGCCTCATCTTTGGAAGACACAGATGAGCCCCTGCTAAAACTGAGTGCTAGAGGAATTATATAATGGATCCATCACCAAGCAGACCATCTCAGGGTATGATTTATGCCTTTGCATTCTTCCAGGAGTTATTTTTGTTTTCAATTTCTAAACGCTCGCACAAGTAGTGTTTCCTCTCTAAGGGCTATTGCTTTATTTGCGACTGCCTTTCTTACGCACAGATGGAGCGATGCATTAGGGTTTTGCTTTTCGATAAAAAGAGATTGGACAATATGCAGAGCTGAGTAGGCCACCGGTCTCCAAAGTGCTTTGCTGGCATCAATTTCTGGTAGTGCTTTAAAGTATTAATTAGGGTGGGTTTTTCCTAGGTGCGGGTCATCACTAATTCCTTGCAGGCAATTTGTTCCCCCTATGGATTGTGCTTCAGCTGTAGGGAGGCAGCATTTCATCAGCATTTTCGATAATATTTTGAAAAATATGGTGTGTAGGTTTCCCCCCTGTCAGCTACCTCACCCTGACAAATTCATGGAGAATAAGGCTCCCAATGGCTACTAGCCGTGATGGCTATGCTCTGCCTACATGGTCAGAGACATTCTTGCTTTCGAATACCAGTTGCCTGAAACCACGGGAAGAGAGCATGCTCTTAAGCGTGAATCCCGCTTGCGGGTTTCCTCCAGGCATCTGGGTGGCCACAGTGAGAACAGAACGCTGGACTGGGTGGGCTACTGGCCTCACCCAGCAGGCTGTTCTCATGTCATTATTGTTGTTGTGATTACAGTCATACCTCATGTTACGTTTGCTTCATGTTACGTTCTTTCAGGTTACGTCCCGCGGCGACCCAGAAGTACCAGAAAGGGTTACTTCCGGGTTTTGCTGCTTGCGCATGTGCACAAGCGCTAAATCGCACTTCGTGCATGTGCACAAACACCAAATCACACCGCACACCTGTGCAGATACGGCGCTTCAGGTTGCGTTCTTTTCATGTTGTGAACGGGCCTCCAGAATGGATCCTGTTCGCAACCCGAGGTACCGCATGACCGAGGGTTGCTCTAAGTATTCATGGCAGCTAGCGGATAGTGTCGGTGCCGCGCTACTAAGCATATTTTCCATTGCACCTGAATATTTTTTCCCTACTTTTGTTCTACATCACAGGCTATTTTACCCATCAAACCATGACTGTTTATCATAATGTGTTCAATGTGTGGTGTGAATGTGGCTCCAGTTGAAGCAGAAGGCCTCTGAAAGGTTAACTCACTACTTTTATAGCTTCCTTGCTTCCTTAGGAGCCACCTCCCAGGGGCCGAGGTCTCTTTGCCCCCCACTCAATAAAATATTTGAGAGGGCTGCTCCCCCAATATTTTATTCAGGTTGGAACCCTTCCTTCCTTCCTTCCTTCCTTCCTTCCTTCCTTCCTTCCTTCCTTCCTTCCTTGTAATCAACAGTAGTAAATAAGATAATCTATTATTGCCCACACCAAGTTATCCACTTTACCATTACTGGAATCTGGGAATCCTGGGCTACTGGGCTTGCATACTTTTAGAGTTTTTTTTTAAAAAAAGAAACTAAAATAAACAACCTTGAAGGATTTGGACTGAAACCAAGCTGATGTTGCTCTTCTGCGATTTCTTTTCCCTCCCTTTGCCTGCGTAGTGTTTTTACTGGATCGGTAGATGAGCCCACAGCGGAAACCCTCGAAGGGGAACAAGACTGTTTCACAGTTCACTTTACAGAAGCCAGCTATGTGTGCCAGCATGATGGGGTGTTTGGTTTTCTTTAACCCAATTTCCCGGCGCAGGATTTACAAGAGATCTTAGGCTGTAATCCTGTATACCAGGTGCAGAGAGCTTTTTTCAACCTGAGGGCCACATTCAGTTCTGGAATGGGCTCCCTCAGGGTGGTTAGGGGCTCTCCTTCCTTGGAGGTGTGAGGTTGGGAGACTGTAAGATCGGGAAACAAAGGAACAATACAGATAAGTATGTGCCTCAAACTCAGCCTGGGAAGCCAGCCACGAGCATGAGATAACGCCGTCACAGGCGCAAGCTGATAACATTCTGTTCTTTGTAAGAAGCCACAAACTTCTTGTTCACAGTTAGGCTTATCTAGGCTTCTTGCAGCTGCTTCTCCCCACCCACACTGAGGCAAGCCAAAGGAGGTGCCCATATTTGATAATGAGCAACATGAATAGAGTAGATTGAACAATGTATTAGACACGTGTCAAACTTGCATAGATAGATTGTACGCCAAGCCTCCAAAAGAGGGGCGGCAGCTAGGTATAAAACTGTTGTACTGAAACTTGATCGGGGCTCTTCGTATCCACGGGTACGAGGAGTCCGCCTTTGCAAACGCGCTGAATAAAAGGGTTATCCTTATACTGGAGTCTTAGTCCTTTGTCTCCACGAATAATATCTAACAATTCTTGGCGCCCAACGTGGGGCCCTCGACGGGTTGCGCGGGGGGAACTCGGATTCCGGGCCGGCGCCACTCCGTTATTCGGAGTAGCCCGGACCTAGATCTGCCCGCGACAGCTCACGAGGGCTAAGACAGGACTCAATATAAGGAAGTAGGGAAAACTCTAGTTCTTGGTCTGGGACCGCGAGCACCCAGCGGGGACGCCCGCCTGTTCACTAGTTGCGAGAAGCGACGCTGGACTGTATTGGGTGAGTAGACATAAGAACTTGGTAAACTGTGCTGTGGGACGGGGGGCGAGAGACTCGTCTCCTGAATAAAAGAGAGGCTCCATACGGACGCGTGAGTGTGGATCAGGGTTCGACCCTGACGAGAGGATAAGCTTGCGGTTCCGTCTATCCCGCGAGGGAAGCGGCCAGGCGATTCCGTGCGACTGTGTGTGTGAGTGGAATTGGAGACATTGTAAACCATGGGCAGGAGTCAGAGTAAAAGACAGAGGGAAGAGAATGGGAAAAGCCCAATCGACCCTAATAGCCCGTTGGGCCAGGTGTTGATCCAGTGGGATGAGGACTATTTGAGGAAATTCACTAGGAGTTTGATGAAGGTGACTATGATTAACTTTTGCAGGAACATCTGGCCAAAATATCCAATAGGGCCAGAAGGTGCATATACTTGGGATCCAGAGGGGGAGACGGATAGGTACTGGATGACCCAGTTGAAGAATTATTTGATACTTAATAAGAAGGAAAAGGAGAAACCATATCTAGAAGTATGGTTCCACGCCCGGTTCTACGGACCGGATCCCCCGCCCGTTAGTCAGTTTCCCCTGAGGAAGAAGGAGGAAGATTCAGATGAAGAAACACGTCCTGCTCCCTCTGCCCCTCCCGTAGTTGCGCAACGGTCGCCAAGCCCGCCGGCACACCCGGCAGTCACGAGTCCCCCGGGTAATGCCCGGCTGGAGAGGGGTCAGACATCCCCGGGGAATCAGGACGCTGGGGAGGGAGTTAGTGGGAAGGAGCCGAATCAGGAAATTTGTTCACCGCCACCTTATCAACCACCGAGTAGGGAAGTGCAACAATTAGAGAGGGATATACAGAATCTCCCTTTCCCGGAGGGAAAGCCCCGCGGTTCCCCCTTGGTTGAGGCATTCCGAAAGTATAGAGGAAGGGAGGGTTGGGGACTCTCACGGACGGAGGACCCAGGAGACTCTCCCGTTCATACTTTCCCCCTTAGGGAGACCCCCGGAGGGATAAATGCACACGGAAATCCAGTTATGGTATACGTGGTCAGTCCCATCAAGCCATCAGAACTCAGGGAATTGAAACAGACACTGCCCAAATTGCATGAGAACAGTCAGGAGGTCGCGAACCTCCTCCAAATGTGGATGGGACCTCATATATACACATACACCGAATTGATGTATATATTGGGGCATTTGTTTACCCCAGAAGAGAAAGCAATGATTAGGAGGGCAGCAATGCAGTACTGGGAAGTTAAGGAGGATCAACGGGTCGCCGCGCCAGTACCGGGTCAAGGTGCACAACAGGTGGTTCCATCGGAGACCAAATTTCCCCTAGGGGACCCGAATTGGGACATAAACGATGCAAATCATCGGACTCATTTGATAGATCTGAAGGAGATGATTTTGGAAGGAATTAGACGGGCTGTACCCCAAAGCACCAATCTCACCAAAGCTTTTGAGGTCAATCAAATGAAAGAGGAGTCACCGGGTGACTTCATACAAAGGATTAGAGACCATTTGACTAAGTATTCAGGGGTGGCCCCAGATTCACCGGCGTTTGACAATCTGCTAAAGATGCAATTCGTAACCAAGGCATGGCCCGATATTCAAAAGAAATTGCAGAAAATGAACTGGCAAGACGCCGCCATCATAGATCTAGTAAGGACAGCGCAGCAGGTTTACGTCAACAGGGAGGCAGTAAAAGTAAGCAGAAGTGCCAGATGATGGCGGCTACTTTGCAGAAAACTTGGGAAGTTCAGAAACAACAGGAAACCGAGGCTGCGAGAGGACGTGGGGGAGCCCCATATCGGGGAAGAGGGCGAGGGAGAGGGGGTTACACACCAGGTTCCAGTGTCATTTGTTATCGATGTAACAAACCTGGTCATTTTGCCCGAGAATGTCGGACCCCACGAGATCAGATACTGGAAAGAAATGAGCAAAGACAGGGAAGTCAGAGGCCAAGACAGACAGAAAGAGAGGGAGGAACTGACACCACTGAGTTGTTCAGTTTATATGATGAATAGGGAACCTCCGGCTCGCTCCATGGGGCCCGGAATGAGCCACTGGTGAACTTGTGTGTGGGGCCCTCTCAGAAATCAGTGGTTTTTCTGATAGACTCAGGAGCGACCCGGTCCTCTATATGTGTACCTGTTCCAGGGGTACGTAAAACAATGTCAAATTTGAAAGTAGTAGGGGTAAGCGGGAAACCAAAGGAAGTTGTGCAATTAGAAGAAACCATTATAAGAAGAGGAGACCGGATAGCTAAGGGATCATTATTATTCATCCCTGAGTCAGGAATAAATTTGTTAGGGCGAGATTTGATGGTAGAATTGGGATTTCAGTTATTGGATTTAGACTTAGGAACTCCCATGTACCCTCTACAGATAGAGGATGAGGAACAAATAGACCCAATGGTGTGGGCAGATGGGAAGATGGTAGGGAGACTGGACATAGCCCCCATTAAGGTCACAGTAAAGCCAGGAATCACCCAGTCATGGACCCCCCAATACCCAATGACTAGGAAGGGGAGAATAGGGTTGCAGCCGGTGGTGAATGAACTGATAAAGCAGGGATTATTAGAACCCACCATGTCACCTTTTAATTCTCCTATTTTAGCAGTGCAAAAGAAAGATGGGAAATATAGAATGGTTGAGGACCTAAGGAACATAAACCAGATAGTGGTCCCCCGTTTCCCGGTAGTACCGGACCCATATACTCTCCTTAGCCGCATTCCACCCACTACCCGATGGTATACCGTTATAGACTTAAAGGATGCATTTTGGACTTGTCCCCTGGACATTGAAAGCCGAGATCTATTTGCTTTTGAGTGGGAAGATGTGAACACGGGCAGAAAACAACAATATAGATGGACGGTCTTGCCCCAAGGGTATACAGAAAGTCCACTTCTTTTTGGGCAGGCACTAGGGGAAAAGTTAGCAGGTTTTACCACCACAGGCCCCAATAGCTGGTTGCAATATGTAGACGACCTGCTGATGATGGGAGAAAAAGAGAAAGAGGTTAGACAAGACTCTATAAGATTGCTGAATTGGCTGGGTAAGCTAGGGGTGAAGGTGTCTAAGGACAAATTACAGTTTGTACAGCGGAAGGTGAAATATTTGGGGCATTTGTTAGAAGGGGGAACAAGAAAATTGGATCCAGAAAGAGTCAAGGGGATCTTAGAATTACAACCCCCTAAGAACAAAACAGATGTGAGGAGAATGCTGGGACTCCTGGGATACTGTAGACTGTGGATAGACCAATTTGCCAAGCTGGTTCGGTTTTTAAACCAAAAACTAGTCGGAGACGGTGAAATAACATGGGGACAAGATGATGAACAAAGATGGGAAGAAGTAAAGAAAACATTAATAGGGGCCCCGGTCCTAGCACTACCGAATCTCCAACAGCCATTCCACTTATATGTAACCATCAGCTCTCAGACTGCTGTCGGAGTTTTAGCCCAAAAGAGGGGGGGGCGGTATCAGCCAGTAGCCTATCTCAGCAGAACCCTGGAGCCAGTAGTGCGAGCATGGCCCACGTGCATCCAGGTGGTGGCAGCAGCGGCTGAATTGGTAGTTGAAAGCAGAAAGCTAACTTTTGGAGGAGCCCTAATTGTTCATAGTCCCCATCAAATATCCACGGTGCTGACTGGGGCAGCCTCCACCTGGATGACGGATGGCCGCTTAACGCACTATGAAACAGTGCTAAGAACAAGCCCTGATATCACACTGGGAACTGATCGGAATCTAAATCCGGCAGAATTCCTGATAGGAGAAAGGAAAGAATGGGAACCGGATGAACACGACTGCTTGGGCACAATACAATTAATGGCAAAGGTCCGAGAAGATTTATCTGAAACCCCTTTAACAATGGGAGAGAGATGGTACATAGATGGGTCTAGTTATGTTAAGGAGGGAAAAAGGAAATCAGGATATGCTGTAGTCAAGGAGGATGGGGAGGTGATCGAAAGTGGGGCCTTGCCGGCGAATTGGTCGGCCCAGAAAAGTGAAATCATGGCCTTGACCCGGGCCCTCGAGTTGGCTAGGGGCCTGGAAGTAACCTTATGGACCGATTCCCGTTATGCATGGGGTGTGGTGCATACTTTCGGGAGGACCTGGCGAGACCGAGGGTTCATTAAGGCAAATGGGAAACAGATAGAACACATGGCCTTGTTGGAAAGGCTGTTGGATGCCCTTACTGGACCAGAAAAGGTTGCAGTGGTACATATCCCCGCTCACACCAGGGGTACTACCCCTGAGGAAGCTGGAAATAGATGGGCTGATTTGAGGGCAAAAGAAGCCGCTAAGGGAGTGCCAAACGAGATAACAATACAGCAATGTACCCTGAGGGTGCCCATTCTTACCACGGCTGACACAGAGAATTTAACTTTCACCTCTCAAGAGATAGAATATATAACAAGAGAGGAATGGGAAAAGAAGGGTAAGGAATGGAGGACCCCAGAGGGACAAATAGTACTGCCAAAGACTGTAATGATGGGGATTCTAGAGAAGATACATGAGAGTGGACATTTCGGGACAGAGGCTATGGTTAACCTGGTGAAATCATTGTATTGGAGTAAAGATATGTGGCCCATGGCCCACTCCATAGCCTGGAAATGCATAATCTGTCACAAGGTAAATAAGGCCAAAGCGAAGAAAACAGAAAAAGGGGGAAGACCTCTAGCAGTATGGCCATACCAAAGAATACAAGTGGATTTCACAGAGCTACCAGAGAAGGGAGGTTATAAACATCTTCTGGTATTCAAAGATCATCTTACAGGATGGGTGGAGGCCTTCCCAAGTCGAAAAGCAACAGCACAGGTAGTAGTCAAGGCCATTCTGGAACATATAGTCCCCCGGTTTGGTATAATAGAAGCCATAGACTCAGACCGCGGCACCCATTTCACACAGAAGGTTCTACAGGAAGTAATGACAGCCCTAGGAATCAAATGGGACCTTCACACGCCGTGGCATCCAGAGAGTAGCGGGAAGGTGGAAAGGGCAAATGCAGAAATAAAAAACATTTAACTAAATTATATTTAGAAAATGGATTACCATGGACAAAAAACCTTCCTTTGGCTTTACTAAGGATGCGTATAGCCCCCAGAAAGGACTTAGGGGTATCCCCATTTGAGTTGATGATGGGAAGACCATACTTGGCGCAACTAGGTCAACCGATGGTGGAGTTCAAAGACTTGTTTATTAGAAAGTATTTGCAATCACTCTCCCAGTCTTTGTTGTCTCTTCATAGACGCGGTATCCTGGCCCAACGCCCTCCGCTACTGGAGCAGCAACACAGTTTCCAGCCTGGTGACCTGGTCCTGATTAAGACGTGGAAGGCGGAAAAGCTCAGCCCGGGTTGGGATGGTCCATTTCGGGTCCTGCTTATCACCGAATCAGCAGTACGGACTCGTGAGTATGGATGGACCCACTACCACCGCGTGAAGAGGGCCCCGCCTGAACGTTGGACGGCCATACCGAGCCTAGACGATCCACTAAAAATAAGAATCACAAAATCAGGGACCGGGAACCAGGGAAGGACTGTAAGGCAATAACTAGAGCTCCAATGTGTTTATTCTGCACGTGCAAGTGTCTTTTCGAATGCTGTTGCTGTGCCCACTGTGAAGGGTGTGTCTGCTGTGTCCACTGCACGGAAGAGTGCAATCTCATGTACATAGAGGACATAATACTCCAATACTGTACGATTGGACTGGGAGGGACAATTATATATTGCAGTTTAGGTCAGAACCCCACGGTGGTCCAGGCTCTCAGAGAGTTGGAAAACAAATAATATGAAAATAAGTTGGATGAGGGGATTTCTGTTAGGCCTCTTAACAGTTGGTGTGGTCCGGGGCTCCGCGGAAACGCTACAATGTACAGAATGTATTCAAGTCACAAAAACAGGGAACAAAATTACAAGGACCTTAATGTATTATAATGTAGCTCCAGAGTGCAAGGAGATACTAGACCCCTGTGTCCACAATCAGACCCAGTACTATAGATGTAAAACTGGAGAAAATAAAACAGAATGTTATGAACCTTTGGCCTTAGGACCCACCACCTCCACCGTTTACGTATATGGATACAAAGGGGGAGCAGTAGGGAGGCGGCAACAAAGATCGGTAGCATTCGCGTTGGCTCAGCAGAGGCAGGGGTATATAGCTCACAATGTGACCAGAGGGACTGCAACAATCCACGTATGTTTTGATGCTTGCACAGCTATAGCCAAAGGACAGGGACCAAACAACCAAGAAGGGGTGACCTGTGGATCCCATGGTTGGGAACAATCCTATCTAACAGAGAGTAAATATCTATTTCAGCGAATAAGGGGAGGCAACATAGGGGCAGGAGGAGGAATCGTGAACTATTGGTACACAGAAGGAGTGAGCTCCAACCCCACATATAAAGGTCCAGAAGGAATAAACATAACAAGGGAAGGAGCGTCCACTGACTGCAGCATAGGAAAATGCAACCCCATCTGTTTATGGGCTAGGGAGCTGCCTTCTACTACCCCCAAATACGTTTATCTTGGATTGGGAATAGACGGGGCCGGAAGAGATCCTTATGGGTATCTAATTATTAAAATACATACCACTAAAGTCAGTAAACAGCCAATCTCAGTATTTGAGAGTTTTGAGGAAGAAATACAACACTTAAATAGTTTGCTCCTCCCCCAAAAGCTCATAACATGTTTTTAAGTTTAGCTGAGACTATCGCCAAAGAGCTAACTGTGAAGAATTGTTTTGTGTGTGGAGGGACGAATATGGGAGACCAATGGCCCTGGGTTGCTCACGAAGTAAACTACACTGAGGTTTGGAAAAATGAAAAGAATTATACATACCACCACCCAGGTAATGAAATTTGGCAAGTCTCAAATAGCCTTGTGGGATTAGAATGTTTTGTCAGAAATAAGTCAGACGCAGGAAGTGGTACAGAAGTAGGGGACACCCCCTGTTTAGGACAATGGAACAACAGGCAGTGGTGGAGTTCGAGTAATGTAACCAAGACCTGGCCATCGGCATTGGCCAACATGAATAATATGACTTTCCTTCAGGATCCACAGAACATGGCAAGGGAATGGACGACCCCGGATGGATTCTATTGGGCATGCGGGGGGTATGCATATAACCGACTACCCCCAGATTGGGTGGGGTCTTGTGTACTGGCTACCCTCCGACCTAGCTTCTTTTTACTTCCCCTAGAGACAGAAGGCTATGCTGGGCGTGCCAGTATATGAGGAAATTGGGCCTAGGAAAAGGAGGGCGATTCACATAGGGACATGGCAGGATAATGAGTGGCCCCCCGAGAGAATAATTCAATATTATGGTCCTGCAACTTGGGCAAATGATGGGACAGCGGGGTCTTTCGGAAGAGATCCAAGCTATCTATTAAACCGTATCATTCGGTTACAAGCTGTAGTAGAGATAATAACTAATGAAACTGCTATGGCACTGACAAAATTAGCTAGAGAAAGTGCAAAGAGCCGTACTTATATTATGCAAAACAGGCTTGCTTTAGATTATTTGTTAGCAAAGGAGGGCGGGGTTTGTGGGAAATTTAACCTAACCAATTGTTGTATCGAGATCGATGAAAGTGGTAAAGTAGTTAAGGATATAGCTGATAGAATGATAAAACTAGCGCATGTACCGGTGCAAACATGGGACGGATTAAATTTTAAAGATTTATTTGGATCCTGGTTTCCAAAACTGCCAGGGCTACAGGCTGTCGTGGCTCTGATTGGACTAATAGCCGCAGGATGTGTATTAATTCCATGCGTATTACCTATCTTTGCCCGGGCCATTAACAACTCCCTCTCCCTGTTGGCCCAGCGACATGTAACTACCCAGCTAATGGCCATGAGATACACCCCAGTACCCACGGACGAGGAGGGGAGGGAATATTGGGAGATATTACGTGAGTTTGAGGCAAGGTATAAAAAGAAAAGGGGGGATTGTGAGGTTGGGAGACTGTAAGATCGGGAAACAAAGGAACAATACAGATAAGTATGTGCCTCAAACTCAGCCTTGGAAGCCAGCCACGAGCATGAGATAACGCAGTCACAGGCGCAAGCTGATAACATTCTGTTCTTTGTAAGAAGCCACAAACTTCTTGTTCACAGTTAGGCTTATCTCGGCTTCTTGCAGCTGCTTCTCCCCACCCACACTGAGGCAAGCCAAAGGAGGTGCCCATATTTGATAATGAGCAACATGAATAGAGTAGATTGAACAATGTATTAGACACGTGTCAAACTTGCATAGATAGATTGTACGCCAAGCCTCCAAAAGAGGGGCGGCAGCTAGGTATAAAACTGTTGTACTGAAACTTGATCGGGGCTCTTCGTATCCACGGGTACGAGGAGTCCGCCTTTGCAAACGCGCTGAATAAAAGGGTTATCCTTATGCTGGAGTCTTAGTCCTTTGTCTCCACGAATAATATCTAACAGAGGTTTATAAGCAGAGGTTGGATGGACACCTGTCATGGATGCTTTAGCTGAGATTCCTGCATTGCAGGGGGTTGGACTAGATGACCCTCGGGGTCCCTTCCTATTCTACAGTTCTACGATTCTATTTCCACAACAAGTAAACTGCTTTCAGGTGATGCCCATAGGAAATGCACACACACTCACTGCTTGCACAAAAAGCTTGATTCTGCGGAACTGCCTGGAGCCACGTAAAAGATGATAGACATCAACTGCCTCGCAGTTATTGAAACAATCAACCTCTGCCAGTTCTTGCTGTTATTCAAATGTCTGCATTTAGGAAGTACAGCGATAAAGATTTCTCTATTTATTTATTTGTTTTGCTTCAGGCAAACATGTTCCCTGCTCTTTCTTGGAATAATTACTCCGCGGAGTACATCAATAAAAGGAAAAGCAGGTTCAAGCAGCAGTGGGTGCTTGATGGGCCAAGGCCACAGGGCCTGGCGAAAGGTTCAGCTGTGTCTCGTTTGTTGCTCTCGGATGTTCAAGCCAAAAAGGGGGGGGGGGCCTTTCATGCATGCATGCAAAGCAGCCTGTAATATCAACATCTGATGAAGGGATGTGATCTCAAATGCCACAAACCAAATTGCAGTGTCAAATAAGAGGCAATATTCAAGCTTTCATATGGAAAATGGAAGCTGCCTTTTACCTGTTTCACCTGTTTGCTCAAGCATCCCCAGTACAATGGTTTTGCACAGCTACAGGTGAGAGAGAAATGTGGTTCAGGTTGCATCTATTGTTGTTAGTCGTTTAGTTGTGTCTGACTCTTCGTGACCCCATGGACCAGAGCACGCCAGGCACTCATGTCTTCCACTGCCTCCCGCAGTTTGGTCAGACTCATGCTGGTAGCTTCGAGAACACCGTCCAACCATCTCGTCCTCGGTCGTCCCCTTCTCCTTGTGCCCTCCATCTTTCCCAACATCAGGGTCTTTTTTAGGGAGTCTTCTCTTCTCATGAGGTGGCCAAAGTATTGGAGCCTCAGCTTCAGGATCTGTCCTTCCAGTGAGCACTCAGGGCTGATTTCCTTCAGAATGGATAGGTTTGATCTTCTTGCAGTCCATGGGACTCTCAAGAGTCTCCTCTAGCACCATAATTCAAAAGCATCAATTCTTCAGCGATCAGCCTTCTTTATGGTCCAGCTCTCACTTCCATACATCACTACTGGGAAAACCATGGCTTTAACTATACGGACCTTTGTTGGCAAGGTGATGTCTTTGCTTGCATCTAAAGGCTGCATCTATAGGCAAGCTAACCTAATTTCTACTTTCCAAAACAGGGCTAGAACTGAAGCCCAGCCCAGCATCCTGTTCTCACAGTGGCCAACCAGATGGCAAAGAGGACCCGAGCACAAGGGCACTCTCTTCCCACCCGGAGAACTTCTCTGAATTATGTAATGCAGCTTTCCAGCCAAGGCGCACCTACAAAAATTCAAGTGTTAGAGTGAAGTGAGCATAAATATTCATATATTAAAGAAAAGCACATACAAAAATGCATTTTATTTGGCACTGCTATTTTTCTAGAAAAAGAGTTCATCCCTTGTTCTTTTATAACGGCAATGGCCGCCTACCTGAGAGGCGTCAGAAGTAAGTTCTGGTGAGTTCTGGCTGAAAAAAGCCCTGATACTAGGTATACTTGCATACAGAAAGGTATATGTTACCAAAAAAATCTCACTAAAATGCTGGAGTTTTTTAAAAAATGGCAAACTGATGTGGAAATATGGAGAATTGAATTTAGGACTGGAAAAAATGAGAAAGTGAGAGAACTCAAATTTGCCATCCCTCCTGGCAGCGTCTGTCTTCGTGGTCTTATATGAACCTCTTTCACCTCACCTGCTGCCTGACCCTTT